GCAGTTAGGAGCAACCAGGCTGGCAGGGAGGGCTCAGTGGGGGGCGACCTGGCCAGCAGCGGGGGGCAGTTAGGGGTGACCAGACTGGTGGGGGTGGGCAGTTAGGGGCAGTCAGGCCGGCACGCAGAGGCAGTGGAGGGCGATCAGGCCGGCATGGGGGGCAGTTAGGGGCAACCAAGCAGGCAGGCAGGTGAGTGATTAGGAGCCAGCAGTCCAGGATTGTGAGAAGGATCTCCGACTGCCAGTTTTAAACCGACAGTCGGACATCTCCTGAGGGGTCCCGGATTGGAGAGGGTGCAGGCTTGGCTGAGGGGATCCCCCCGCCTCGTGCATGAATTTTGTTCACCAGGCCTCTAGTTGATTACAATTTCAGAAATGTAAAAATGGCTGATGGAAGTTGTAATATACTTTGTATTATAAGATGAATCCTCATTTTACAGTTTTAAAATATGCCTTAGAATTGCTGAAATAGGTAAACATGGAGCCAGAATGCAAAATATAGGCAGTCTGATTCCAGAACTTATGCTGTTTTCAAGGGAGTTGTTGTCCTAGGAAAATGTCTTTTTTTTCAGATTGTTGTTTATTCCTATGAAGGCCACAGAAAAGCTGTGATCATGAATATAGCCATCCTGTTGTGGATGCAGACAAGATTAAATGAAGTCTTAAAAAACTTATCACAAGAGTAGAATACCCTTGCCGAAACCGGTTTGGCTCAGTGGATAGAGCATCGGTCTGCGGACTGAAAGGTCCCAGGTTCGATTCCGGTCAAGGGCATGTACCTGGGTTGCGGGCACATCCCCAGTGGGAGATGTGCAGGAGGCAGCTGATCGGTGTTTCTCTCTCATCGATGTTTCTGACTCTCTGTCTCTCTCCCTTCCTCTCTGTAAAAAAATCAATAAAATATATTTAAAAAAAAGAATAGAATACCCCCACAGTATCTTCTATCCTTTTTTATTTTTTATTGATTTTAGAGAAAGAGGATGGGAGAGGGAGAGAGAGAAACATTGATGTGAGATTGAAACATCCATCAGCTGCCTCCCATGCACCTCACCAGGGATTGAGCCCACATGGACATGTGCCCTGACTGGGAATCAAACCGCCAACCTCTGGGTGCATGGGACGATGCCCAACTGACTGAGCCACACTGGCCAGGGTACTGTCTTCTAACCTTTAAAAAAGCATCTCAAAAAGTAGCTTTTTGGTAACTTAATTTTTCTCTTTTTTGCAGTGTTTCACTCGAGGATTTGAGTACAAGAAGCATCAAAGTGATCATACTTACGAAATAATGGTAATGATGAAGTTGCAGGGAATTTCTGTTTATTTTTCAAGTCTTACATGCGAATTATTCTTTTTTTTCCTTCACCTCCAAGACTTTCTTTTTCTTTTTTTTCCTCCTCTTCTAAATTAGGTAATCATTACCCAGTAAATTTGTCAGTTTTATGGATCTACTGAGGCATTATTAAGTCCAAAAATTATTTTAAATACTCAGATTTTTGTTTCAAATTTAGAAAGAATTTAAAGGAAGCACTTTTTGAGATTACTGACATAAGAGTTACGCTGCTTTTAAATATATTTTTAGTGATTTTGGAGAGAGAAAGGAAGAGGGATAGAGAGAGAGAAACAACGATGAGAGAAAAATATCTATCAGCTGCCTCCTGCACCCACCTCACCCTCCGCGCCCCCCCCCGCCCCTGGGAAATCCAGGCATGTGCCCTGATTGGGAATCAAACCATGACTTCCTGGTTCATGGGTTGACACTCAACCACTCAACCACACTGGCTGGGCTACACTGCTTTTTAGGTTCGTTGATAAAACATATAATAGATGTATTGTTGATGTTTTAGCTAATGGTATTTTTATGTGGTTCATGAGGATAGTTGTAATGTTTATGTCTGGTACTCTGTACCCCTTCCATGGGGAAAGTTAGTTACCTTTTTGAAATTAAGTTTTAAATGAACATAGAGTGAATGATATAATACATAAAACCATTTTGAAGAGACAGACTGGCTTATAGGCCAGAGTAAGAATTGGCTGGAATTTGATTAATTGTATTACCACCTCTTAAAGAAGGAATGAGAGACAGATGTTGGGAGTATATTTCCATGCTCTCGCCAAAGGAATGGGCACTTTAATAAGCCAAAGTAATATCTTGTCTGCTTATGTGCTTGGCGGGTATGTATACCTTTGTCAAGATAGTTTTGTCAGTTATCAGAGCATAACTTGTAGTTCACCATGTAGTTTTTCTTAGAGGAAACAGTGCTGGCTAGGGCATTTATTTGACAGTAATAATGCCTCCCTCTTCTACTTTTAAGGACCCATGTGAGTACAGTGGGCCCATTTGGATAGTGCAGGATACTCTTCCTATTCTAAGGTCAGTAGATTAGTACCTTAGTCCCATCAGCAGAGTTCATTCACATGAATATGTAGCTAGTGTTTGAATAATCAGGAATCCTGGGGGTAGAAGGAGTCATTTTTAAAATTATGCCTACCACAGCACTGTAGTAATATTATCTGCCCCCCACAAACACTTAAGACTGCCCTATTTTCAATAGCCCCACCAGAGTGGAACATTTTTTTTTTTTTAATATATTTTATTGATTTTTCACAGAGAGGAAGGGAGAGAGATAGAGAGCTAGAAACATCAATGAGAGAGAAACATCGACCAGCTGCCTCCTGCACATCTCCCACTGGAGATGTGCCCGCAACCCAGGTACATGCCCTAGACCGGAATCGAACCTGGGACCTTTCAGTCCGCAGGCCGACGCTCTATCCACTGAGCCAAACCGGTTTCGGCCAGAGTGGAACATTTGTTATAATTGATGAACTACATTGGTACTTCATTATCACCCAAAATCCATGTTTACATTAGCATTCACTCTTGGTGTTGTACAGTCTGAGAGTTTGTAATGTCATGTGTCCTCCATTATAGTATCATACCAAATAGTTTCATGCCCCTAAAAATCCTCTGTGCTCTGCCTATACATCCCTCCCTCCCCTTTACTCCTGGCAATCCCTGATCTTTTTATGGTGGCTGTATCATTTTGCATTCCCAGCAGCAATGAATGAGAGTTCCTGTTACTCCACATTCTCACCAGCATTTAGTGTTGTCTATTCTGGATTAATGGTCATTCGAATAGGTGTATAGTGGTAATTGTTTTAATTGGTATTTCTCTGATAACATATGATGTGGAATATCTTCTCATATCAATACATTTTTTTTCCTGTTTGTTAATTGCAAAATGAATGAAGTGTGGTCGGAGTAGCATTCACTTTGAGTGCATTTCATCAAGGTTATCAAATCTTCAGAAAGCTGATTTATTTTTCCCAAATTCCCACAAAAATATCTAGAGCCAGAATATACATTTATTCATTTGAGTTGTGAAAATAATTCCTTAATAATTAAGTATATGTTGAGTAGGTTGATGGTTATCCACTGTAAGAAAGCTGACCAAGAGCTCTCTAGCTGTTCTGGGCACAGTGCCTTTTGCATAATGCTGAAAGTACTAAGTTTCACTCCAAGTCCACTTATTTCTTCTGATTACATCCTTTTCTCACATATTCAACACTCATACAAACACTTTGGGGAGCTTTTGGGGGTTACTAATAGTCCCTCTTTTTCTTCCAGTCCTATCTATTCCACATCTTTCCTTCAGTAGGAATAATGACCAAATTTTGGCTTTCTACACATGAAGCCACTAAAAATGTGATTAAAAAAACATTTTTTGGCATAGGAAGCCTCAGAAAACTTTAAGTGGTTTTCAGTACTTTTGTCACCTCACAGTGCTGTAATTTTGGAAGTTACTCATGCTTTGGTGGGTGGTGTGTTAAGGTTTCTGAATTCTATGCCTATTTTTGTCCTATACTTCTTAGAACCTTGAACAAGTCAAGGCACCACTTTCTATCAGACCCTTTATACCTATAACAGTGATTCTTAAATTTTAATGGAGAAGGATCACCTGGGTAGCTTCTTAAAAATGTAAATTTGTAAGCCTCGCTGTTAGAGAATCTGGTTCAATAGGGTTCAGATTGGGTCCAGGGAATAAACAACATTGATAAAACTTTAAGAAAAACTGTACTATGTCCATTTATTTATTTTAGGTGTAGAAAATCTTTCTTGTTTATCTAAAAATAAAGTTGGTGAAAGCTAATATTCTAAAATACATTTTTTAGAAATAATATTGGCTCTTCAAATATGAGCTGTCATATTTACATGTATGTATGACACTTGCCAGATTGAGTGATTATATGAATTTAATATAGACATAGACCCTGAAATTTTACTTTTTGGTCTCTTAGTACCTCTTGTGCTAAGCATATTTATAGTATGTGTTCAGATAAATGTGTATTGCTGATTATTAGTATAATTTCACAAATCACTACAGTATTTTTGTCATTAACAAAAGATATAACCAGTTCTAAATGCCTGTGTAATCCGAAGACTTCTTGTGTCACTTTTTTAAAGACTTACTATAGAAAATTTTAAACGTATACTAAAATAGAGAGAATGGTATTTCGGCTATCTATTGCTACCTAACAGCTACCGCAAAACTTTGTGGCTTAAAATAACAACCATATTATCTCCCACAGTTTTGTGGTCAGGAATTCAGATTGGGCATGGCAAGGGTAACTCTCAGTTCCACATGATGTGCTGGGGCTGGAAGTCCAAGGGGCTTTTTTTCACATATTCTAGCACCTCAGGAGGATGGTTTGCATTGGTTGGGAGTTAGCTGGAATATCTTCACTGCCTGAGGCCTGGGTTCTATAGTAGTCTTAAGGGCCTCTCCCTCTCCATGTGACCTTTCCACATGGTCTTTCCTCCTTTTAGCAAGGAGGCTAAATTTCTTATGTGGTGCCTCAGGAATCCCAAGAGCGCAAAAGTAGAAACTGCTAGGCCTTCTTAAGCAAGTCACAGGTCCAACTTGTATTAAATAAGAAGGGACCACACAAGGATGTGAATTCCAGGAGAAGTTCATTGAGAGCCACCATTGTAACCAACTACCTAACTGTTAAAATGATCAACTCGTGGCCTATTTTATTTCATCTAAAACCCCAACCCTTCAGATTACTTAGAAGTAAACCTCCCAGACATTATACCATTTTAGCTATAAATGCTTTATTAGGTCTATGTAAAATTTAAAAGTAATGCAAGTCACTTTTCACATTTCCCCAATCATTTCATAAAAGCTTTTTAAAAAATCTCTGCTCTGTTCTCCACCTCTGAAATAGTCACCGTTCTGATTTTTATTATCATAGATCAGTTTTGCATATTCTACAACTACATCTAAATAGATTTATACTGTAGGTATTTCTGTTTCTGGTTTCTTTCACTCAGCATGTTTTTGAGATCTATTCATGTTGTATATAGTAGTTCATTCCTTTTTGATACTGAGTAATATTCCATGGTAAGAATATAACACAGTTTGTTTATCCATTCTGTTGATAGACACCTGGGCTTTGCCTAGTTGTTGGCTATTAAGAATAAAAACCGTTATGAACATTCTTATTCTTGTTTAAGGCTTTCTGTGGATATGTATTTTCATTTTTCTTAGGTAAATACTTAGGAATGGAATTGCTGGGTTATAAAATAATGATTAACTTATTCATTATTTTAATCCTCATCCAAGGATATTTTCCATTGATTTTTAGAGAGAAGGAAAGACAGAGAGAAATATCGATGTGAGAGAAGCACATTGATTGGTTGCCTCCTGCACGAGCCCCGACCAGGGCTGGGGAGGAGCCTGCAGCCTAGGTATGTGCCCTTGCCCGGAATTAAACCTGGGACCTTTTGGTCCGCAGGCTGACACTCTATCCACTGAGCCAAACCGGCTAGGGCATAAATGATTAACTTTTAAGAAACTATCATAAAGTTTCCTAAGTGGTTGTGTCCTTTTACATCTCTACTAACAATGTCTGAGAATTCTGATTGCTCCTTATGCTTGTTAGCTTTTGATAGTTTCTGTACTTTAGCTATTCCTTGGGTATCATGAATTTGTAGTGGCATCATAAAAAATTTTTTTCAACATTTACAATTTGTACTAATTGGGATACAAATAAGGCCCATTCATTCCAATTGGTTGCCTCATATATTTTCTATTCTGTGGGTTTTTCTCCTTCCCAACCTTCCCTCACTCTTTCTCTCATTTCTTACAGTTTTTATTTTTTAAAAACTGGGTTGTTTGTATTAATAGATGTTAATACAGGCTGGATTTTGCTGACTAATGTGTTCCTCTGTCTTCTGTTCCTGTAAATTGGTAGTTAGATCTAATGGCTATATCAGATTCATTTATGGTCATTGTCTAGATCTGTTAATGTATTGGGGATTGCAAAGTAGTTATCTTTTAGTTCTGTTACTCCTTTTAAGTTGGGTTAAATTCTATAAAAAGATAGTTTGTATCATTATCTGTGTGACCACCTTTAGGTATCATGTAGGTAAAGTTTGTACAGGAAAGGCAGGATAAGTACTTGTTCTCCCCCCCCCCCTTTTTTTTTTAACTGGGTTTAAAATATAAGTTGGTTTCCTGGCACCTTTAGATATTTATAATACTTTATGTGTTCCAATCCTTTACAGTTTTATCCCTATTAGTGCTCAAAATGTTCCATTTTTTGTTAGTAGGAGCCTCTACAAGTTAGTCTCTGAATCCTTTTGACATGACACTTACGAGTCTTTGAGTCTTTGAGAGCTTTTTTGCTTTCCAGTATGACAAAATGTTCCAGTCTCATCTTGAACAGTTCCTGACCCAAAGCTGGAATCAGCTTTTTCTTCAAGTACCACTAAATACTGTTTAGTGGTAAATAGAATTTAGAGACTGCATACTAGGAAACAGAAGCATTCATTGTTACTGGGTTGATCATTGTTTCTAGACCTTTTCAGTGAACAGTGTTAGGAAATTATTCTAAGACAAAAATACATTATGAGTTTATACTAGAACTTTCAATTCCAATATAAGACTACAAGGTTTTACATAACCTCGAAGATCTTACGTCTATATCTTTTTCCCCCAAGCCAAAAATCCCACTGCCCAATAATGCCATTATTTATCTGCTTTACCCCATAACACATCCACATCCAGTAATCTTAGAATATACCAACGCTATTGAAAACAGTATAAGAGTTATTTTGGCAGTTTCTTTTACTTTTTTTAAAAATTGATTTTTAGAGAGTGGAAGGGAGAGGAATAGAGAGAAACATCGGTGAGAGAGACACACTGATTGCTTGCCTCCTGCACACCCCCTACTAGGGGTCAAGCCCACAACCCGGGATTAAACTGCCCTCCTGGTTCATGGGTCGATGCTCAACCACTGAGGAACACCAGCCAGGCAGTTTCTTTTAACTTTTAAGGTATATTCTACAGATGTACAAATAATTGTATTTTAAAGTCAATTGAGATAATTTCCTTCTGTGTGATTATGCCTTAAAATAAATTCATAGGTTTGTTATATTTTGTTTTTATAATTCTTATGATTTTGAAATTTAATAATTACATACAATATTTATCTTTCAAAGTCAAATCTGCAAAACAAGGAATATTCAGAGAGTCTAGCTTCTATTCCTGTCCTCTCCACTGTTTTCTCCCTCCTTTCCCCATAGGTAAACTTTTCTTTTAAATGTATCGTTTATTCTTCCATTATAAATTACACACACGTGTATTTCCCCTTTTCTTACCTAAATGGAAGCATACTATATTTATCTCTATCTTTGTGCTAAGTTTAAAAATGCTTATATTTCTGTTATGAATTACATAGAATTTATGGGTGATAATATTTTTGGAGAACCTTGATGGTGGAAATAGGAGTAAGGTGGTAGACCACCATGAGAATAGTTAGTAAAATAGAACAGGTATTGAAAAGGGCATAAATTAGTATTACAGTTAAGGTTACTAGGTTCCATTTCTATATCTATTCTTAGGCAAAATCTTTTCTTTTTTTAGACCTCAGATTTTCCTGTTCTTGACCCCAGCTGGACTGCTCAAGAAGAAATGGCCCTTTTAGAAGCTGTGATGGACTGTGGCTTTGGAAATTGGTAAGAGCTTGGTGTTAGGGCTTGTCCTGCCCTAGTGAGCTCCGAGAAAAAGGTGCATGTGAAGGGTAAAGGGAGAAGCCTCAGAAAAAGAACTTTGCGGATCATATGTTGCTTTTCTATTGACCCATGACTTGTCCTCTGAAATGCCTCACGGGGAGACATGGGATGTTTCATGGCCTGTGACTGGGCAGATCTAAAAGACCGTTTTGAATGGATCAACACAGAGAAGGCTGGTTATTCTTTCTGAGTAGTGGGGAAATTTAGACTCATTAGTCATTGCTCCTTTCTGATTTTGTGAATTCTTGGCTATGGATGCCCTCGTCATTTAACTGTGTCAGACTTTTGGTAGATGGCCACAGCTTACCTAAGATTCAAGTTTGACAGACTTCTATTTGCATTTCCTATTTTTAGCTTTCAATATCTGCCTTAGTCCAAGTTTGGCAGAATTGAACAGCAGGTATTGCTGTTGCCTTAGGTAGTAACACTTAATCCCACTGCTTTCATTTTTGTTCTTTGGGAGTACTTTGACACTGATGATAACATTTTATGAATTAGACAACAGAGAGTTTATTAAACATTTTTTAAAAAATATATTTTTTATTGATTTTTTACAGAGAGGAAGGGAGAGAGATAGAGAGTCAGAAACATCGATGAGAGAGAAACATCGACCAGCTGCCTCCTGCACACCTCCCACTGGGAATGTGCCCGCAACCAAGGTACATGCCCTTGACCGGAATTGAACCTGGGACCTTTCAGTCCGCAGGCTGACACTCTATCCACTGAGCCAAACCGGTCTTGGCTATTAAACATATTTTGTTCATGAAGAATCTCAAGCTTAGGGACCTGAAATGATTTCTCATGATCACATAGCTTGTTAGTGAAGGACTCTTAAGTAGATCCACCCTGTCCTGACTTCCTAGTATATATAATCTTTCCTGATATTAATAGAATATACTATGCTGCCTCCCTTATGTTGAAGTCTCTGAAGGAGACTTGATGAGTTCAGTTCACATTTTGCTTTTTTTATTCATTCAGCATTTATTATAAAATATTGTGTATTAAAAAAAAAACACCAAAAAAAAATATTGTGTATTATAGGGAATACCAAAAAAGATAAGAAAATGTGATCACTTATGAGACACTTGGTAGTCATCTTTGGCCTTTTTGGTTTTTCATTTTTTCGCTTGCCATTCTAATGCTCTAAAATGGGCTAATCCTCACTGTCCCCCTTCCCTCTTAGCAAAGATCACAAAAATACTATAGTTTTTCTATCTACTATAAGGTACTAAGCTTGGTGGTAGGGTGCTAGAGTTAAGAATTATAACACCCTGCCCTCAAGAAGCTTATAATCTAGAATGGGAATATATATGTATACACACATATAGATACACACACACACATTTTGTTGAAGTACACAAAGCAGAGCATAGTAATGCCTTAGGAGAAGAACAAGTGAAGCACTGTGGAAGAGAGGGATTGAGAGGGGACATGGAGAGAGTTCACCTCCACCTCTTCATTCTGGGCTAGGATTCAGGAGTCTTGAGAACAAATTCTGGCTTTGTCACTTATGTGCTTTGTGTTCTTGAGCAAGTTTCTCTTAATGTCTTTGGGCCTCATTTTTTTCATCTGTGAAATTGAGATATTAAGTACTCACACCACACAGTTAATGGTAGGATTGACTTAAATTATGTTATGAATGTTTCTAGCTTATGCTTGGCCTATTGTAAGAGCTCTAGTAAAGAAATTTTGTTCATGCAAAATGTTTTGTAAACTATAAAACATTATGCAAATATAAAACTACTAGAGGCCTGGTGCACAGATTTGTGCACTGGTGGGGTCCCTTGGCCTGGCCTGTGGGGATTGGGCCAAAACCGGCAGTTGGACATCCCCTGAGGGGTCCCGGAGTGCAAGAGGGCACGCTGCAAAGTTGCTGTCACTCGGCAGCTCCTGCATTGAGCGTCTGCCCCCTGGGGGTCAGTGCACCTCATAGCCAGTTGCTTAGGCTTTTATATATATAGATACTTATGTACGTACGTTTTTATTGTTCCAAAGTGGCTTGTTTTTATTTATAGCAATCCTCTCCATGGGGCCTAGCTCACAGGGTAATTACAAGCTTTGTAGTGATTTTTCACTTCTTTTGGTGGAAAGGAAAGGGCTTTTCAGATACTGTTTCTATATCTTGGAATAGCAGGATTTGGAATAGCAGATTATACCAATATTAGCCTTGTATTTGTCTTATTGTTCTGCTGATAGCTCCATGACACCAGTTTGGAAGTATCAAATCCCAGGCATTATGTGGATAGGACTTAAAATTTGTGAAGAACGAACTTGCTTTTATCATTACATATAGTTGAAAGCACTACTTCCTTCTCTTTTCCTCACATTCCTCTAGGCAGGATGTAGCCAATCAGATGTGTACCAAGACCAAGGAGGAGTGTGAAAAGCACTATATGAAGCATTTCATCAACAACCCTCTGTTTGCATCTACCCTGCTGAACCTGAAGCAAGCAGAGGAGGCAAAAACTGCTGACACTGCCATTCCATTTCTCTGTAAGTGCCTCCCTTTTCTAAAGAGATACTTAGGTCATCTCTGGGCCTTGTTGCATAGCAAATACATAATGGTTTGTTGACTTGGACAGCTAATGAGTTTACGAAATACAGGAGGAGTTGGCATGGCCATTATTGGGAGTCAGGGCCATAATGGGGCCAGGAGGGAACATCTCCCAGAGGCTAGAGTTCTATACTGGATGTCAGGGTGCCTGGATCCAACATGTAGTTACACCTGAGACTTGCAGTTCCATGCTATTGTGAACACCAGGCTTTTTATAATCCCTTTGGAGAGTTTATGATTGTAGATATTAGTTAATAAGAAAGTCCACTATTTGACTTATTATCATTAATTATTAATCATCCCAGTGTTAAGCCCAAGAAGCAATTTGTTATTTTTGTTCACTTAGTTGTGGCAATAATAGCACACTTTTTTTTTTTTTTTTTTTAATCACATGTGGCTGAGGGACCCATGGGTCTTTTAACAAAACATAACCAAAACCGTGATGAATTATAAATGGACACCTTTCCTCAATGACTCCCAGAGCACAAGTAATGAAATATGAATGTTTTCCCTTCCTCCCTCCCTTTCCTCATATTCTTAGAAACAGTTTTGTAGCTGACTGCCTCAAAGCCTGATGATACCTCGTATTTCGATAGTACTTGGAATGTTGTGCTCAGTTCCTAAATCCATTAGACCCTTTGTTCCTCATAGAAACCCAATGACCTAGGCAGAGCAAGTGCTTTTGTTTTACACATAAGGAAATAGATTCACAAAGGTTAATTTGTGCAAGGTCATGTGGATGTGAGGGGACTAGTGGATGTTAGAGTTGGGACTCAATTCCAGTTAACTTCCAAACCCAATAGGGTCTTTTTGGCCTCTCAGTTGGATGAGATTTATAAATTGAGATTAGTCCTAAAGCATAAGGATGCTGAAGGAAACAGGGTAAAAACCTATGTTCTATAATATTAAAGAAAAGATCCTTTGTTTTTTCGCATGTTAAAAGCAAAAAGCAGAGTGAATTTTCCTATCTTTACTTCAAGGTTTCCTTAAGTCTTAATTTCCTTTTTAAGAAATCAGTCTGTTTCCATAATAGTTTATCTCTTTCACTTTTCCCTTTATAAAAAGCTTTGAATTTTATTTATTCTCTCAGATGCTGTCTTTCTCCAAACAGAAATATTTTAGAGTGTAAATGACTATTTATGTGTCATTTAAAGTGAATAAGAAAAACTCTAAATTTTCCAGCGGCAGAAGACCCTCCCCGACCTACCTTTGACTCTTTGCTTTCTCGGGACATGGCAGGATACATGCCAGCTCGAGCAGATTTCATTGAGGTAGGAGAAACTCATTTTTGTTTCTGATGAGGCTTCTATCTCTTAGCCATAGGTTTCATAGCACTAAAAAAAGATTTTCAAAGCCCTGTAATTTGTAGTCCCTTATGCAGTGACATTTTCTTCTATTTGAGTGCTTTTTCTCATTTGTAAACATTTTCACATGTAGAACAGTGAAAGTTCTTCAGGCCAAGAACCTGTTTCTTAAATTTCATTGGTGTGGGCTCCCACTTTCTTAGTAGGTGTGGGGTTTCTATAGACTGGTTCTTATTCCATACCTAAGGGGTTTCAAGGTTGTACTATATCAGGGGCTGACAAATTTTTTCTATTTAAGGGCCAGATGGTAAATATTTTAGGTTTTGTAGACCAAAAAGTCTATTTTACAACTGAACTTTGTCACTATTGTTGCAAAAGCAGCATGGATAATATGTAAACAAATGAGCCTGCCTGTGCTCCAGTAAACTTTGTATATAGAAACAGGCAGTGGGCTGGATTTGCTGACCCCTGTACTGTGTTTATAAGATAAAGAATGACAAATGTATATAAAAACTACATGTTCCTTGTTCAGCTATAGAGTTAAAAGCCCTGTGAATGTAGTCGTAAGTTGCTTGATTTATATCTAATTCACAATTACAGTGCTCTTAGAGGTAAGTTGAAAGTTTTAGTGAGCTACAAACAATTTTGCTAGCCATGCCCAGGTCTGCATTTTTTTCAAGGCAAGTGATATTGTAGAGCTACCCCATAGGCTCTATCCCTACCGATTGTACTCATTGAATAGAATATGAGTACACTGAGCTACATAAGCACTATTGCATAAATAGAGCCCTCAGAAGGTAGTAAAAAGGTAGATGAATTAATGCAGACAATTTTCATACCGGAAGATCTAGTCAGAGTTAGATTTTCTGGGGTTACCTTTTATAAACAGACTACTTTTAATTTTTAGAACAATAGCTTTGGCTTTATTCATGAACTCATAACTGTTCTCATTTTTGCTGTCAGTACTGCCTGAAAGCCTCTTAGATTTCCCCCATGATTTCTCATTATTGAGGCAGTATCCTGGCTTTGTACCCCATTCACTACTTTTAAAGGAGTGTTTGCCTGTGTATTTTCTACTTGCTTCTAATGCATGGCTACTGTAAACATATTACTCAAAACTGATAAGTTTGGGGGTGGGAATTTTTTTTTTCCCCCAAACAGGAGTTTGACAATTATGCAGAGTGGGACTTGAGAGACATCGATTTTGTTGAAGATGACTCGGACATTTTACATGGTAACATTTTGTTTTAACAAATGTTTTTATTGATTGCAAACTATGTGATGGTACTGTGTTGGGGTCTAGGAATCTAAGGATGAATAAAACATGTCCCCTGCCCTAAACGGGACTCAAAACCTAGTGATTAAGTTGCTGAACTTAACTTTTTTTGTTGGGTTTTGACCACAATGAAAAAGATCATTTGTGCTGATGGTGAGAACGTTGATTATATAATGGTAGTTGGGAATGTCCCATTCCTTGGCGTGTAGATCTTCCTTTTGACTGAGGTAGGGCTACATTGAGGTAATTAACTGGCCCTCACTGCCTCCTGAGAAGGAAGGGGGCCAGTGTGAAGAAGACCTTGGGACTTTAGTAGCAGCTGCTGGTACTAGATGTTCACTATGATTTGTTAACCCAAATTTCCCACTGCAGAGGAAAAGAATGGAAGTTCTTTGAGGATTTTTTAGACCAAGATTAGGAATTTCTCATTTCTTAGAACTGTTGAATTTTTAACATTTCTGAATTCTCATCTAAGATTAGCCCTTTAGGGATTTATGTCAACTGTTGTGTTATAATATAAATGGTTAATACCAACAGAGCTCTTAAAAGTGGATGGTTAGCCCTGGCTGGTATAGCTCAGTTGGTTGAGCATCATTCCATGCACTGAAAGGTCACCGGTTCAGTCCCCAGCCCTGGCACTTACCAGGTTTGCAGGCTTGATGCCCAGTAGGAAATGCACAGTAGGCAGCAGATTAATGTTTCTCCTTCTCCCTTTCTCTCTCTCTAAAAATCAATAAAAACATTTTTAAAAAATTGGATGGTTAGACTTTTGTTGAATCTTTCCCCCCTCTTTCTGTTTTCAGTGAACTACATATTTGAAATAATCCCTAGTCTTCTCTTTCATTTTAGTTCAGAATTGAAATTGAATGTGATACAATATGAACAGTGCTCCCTTGGATTCTATATTCTCCAAGCAGCATCTTCATTGTTTCTCTTAAATCTATATTCCAGGCAGGGAAGGCAAGTGGAATCCTTGTTGAATTATACATAAATCAAGTTTTCATGTGGCATTATCTGCTACTCTGTCATTAGAAGGGGAATTTGATTCCATAGAAGAGCTGCCTAGGTGTTTGTTATACCAGATCTAGAACAAAGAAAGTCCTCATAAAAATTTTATCTCTACATATTTCTTGAGCCATTTTCTTTTCAAAATTTCATTTCTCTTCTCCCACACAACTTTAAGGAAAGTCAGAGTGACGCAGATTGAACTAAAAGAGGAAAGCTTGAAAGCAAACTAGTTTGGCATTCACTAGATTCATCATTGTATTTGTTCAGTCATCCTGTCAATCTCTTCTTTTCAACCCCGGGTAACTCATGTTATTGTCTTTTCTCACCTGTGTTACTGTTCCCTTGAAGGTAGTGTGTGGATTGCCATTCAGTATTTCTCTTCAGATACACCAGCTTTAATTAAAATGGTATTGTTTTCTAGCTTGTAGCTCTCTTTTCCAGAATACAAAAAAAAAAAAAAAGGCAACGTAATAAATATCTTTTATATACTGTTCAAAAGTACTTAACTTTTGAAAGTTAGAATCTCTAATGTCAATAATGGCTAAACTATGTAAGAGACTTGCTGAATTACTTCTCTAGGCCCTAATCCAAGGTCTTCATTCTTAAGCCTCAACATTATTAAGAAAAGTGTAATGGTTGGGATTTAATTTCACTCTTCATTCTTCGTAGAAGCAAGATCTGTAATTTGTCCTGGTGTACTTGTGCTACTTTCTGTTAAGTGGGAGCAAAAGGAAAAAAATTAGAAAGAAGCAATTGATTGATTAACAGTTTTTATTTCAGTTAGCATTTCAAACCTAAAACATACTTTAATTATTTGTGCTCTTTCTACAATTTCTTTTTTTGTTGTTGTTGTTGTTTGTTTTTAATTTTTTTTATTGCTTAAATTATTACAAAGAGTATTACATACAATCAGTTTGAGGCAGCTCTGCCTCTGTATCTATTATTGTTCAAAAGTTTGTAATGGTCTTTATTATCCATGAATGAGTGAGATCATGTGGTATTTTTCCTTCATTGACTGGCTTATTTCACTTAGCATAATGCTCTCCAGCTCCATCCATGCCGTTGCAAATTGTAAGAGTTCCTTCTTTTTTACAGCAGCATAGTATTCCATCGTGTAGATGTACCACAGTTTTCTAATCCATTCATCTACTGATGGGCACTTAGGCTGTTTCCAGATCTTAGCTATGGTGAATTGTGCTGCTATGAACATATGGGTGCACATATCCTTTCTGATTGGTGTTTCTGGTTTCTTGGGATATATTCCTAGAAGTGGGATCACAGGGTCAAATGGGAGTTCCATTTCCAGTTTTTTGAGGAAACTCCATACTGTCTTCCATAGTGGCTGCACCAGTCTGCATTCCCACCAGCAGTGCACAAGTGTTCCTTTTTCTCCACATCCTCTCCAGCACTTGTCGTTTGTTGATTTGTTGATGATAGCCATTCTGACAGGTGTGAGATGGTACCTCATTGTTGTTTTGATTTGCATCTCTCGGATGATTAGTGACTTTGAGCATGTTTTCATATGTCTCTTGGCTTTCTGAATGTCCTCTTTTGAAAGGTGTCTATTTAGATCCTTTGCCCATTTTTTGATTGGATTGTTTATCTTCTTTTTGTTAAGTTGTATGAGTTCCCTATAAATTTTGGAGATTAGGCCCTTATCAGATATGACGTTGGCAAATATGTTTTCCCACGCAGTGGGTTTTCTTGTTGTTTTGTTGATGGTTTCTTTTGCTGTGCAGAAGCTTTTTATTTTGATGTAGTCCCATTTGTTCATTTTCTCTTTAGTTTCAACTGCCCTAGGAGCTGTATCAGTGAAGAAATTGCTTTGGCATATGTCTGAGATTTTGTTGCCTTTGGATTCTTCTAGAATTTTTATGGTTTCCTGTCGTACATTTAAGTCCTTTATCCATTTTGAGTTTATTTTTGTGTATGGTGTAAGTTGGTGGTCTAGTTTCATTTTCTTGCATGTATCTGTCCAATTTTCCCAGCACCATTTATTGAAGAGACTGTCTTGACTCCATTGTATGTTCTTGCCTCCTTTGTCAAATATTAATTGAGCGTATTGGTTGGGGCTGATTTCTGGGCTCTCTATTCTATTCCATTGATCTATATGTCTGTTCTTGTGCCAGTACCAGGCAGTTTTGAGAACAGTGGCTTTGTAATACAGCTTGATATCTGGCATTGAGATCCCACCTACTTTGTTCTTTCTCAGGATCGCTGCAGCTATTCGGGGTCTTTTTTTATTCCAGATGAATTTTTGGAGAGTTCGTTCTAGATCTTTGAAGTAGGCCATTGGTATTTTAATGGGAAGTGCGTTGAATTTATAGATTGCTTTGGGTAGTATGGACATTTTAATGATGTTGATTCTACCAATCCAAGAACATGGTATGTTCTTCCATCTCTTTATGTCTTCCTCTATCTCTTTTTTCAACGTCCTGTAGTTTTCTGAGTAGAGGTCTTTTACCTCTTTAGTTAAGTTTATTCCTAGGTAGCTTAATTTTTTTGGTGCGATGGTAAATGGGATTGTTTTTATAATCTCTCTTTCTGAAAGTTCACTGTTGGTGTATAGAAATGCCTCAGATTTCTTGGGGTTAATTTTGTATCCTGCTACATTGCCAAATTCATGTATTAAGTCTAGTAGCTTTTTGATGGAGTCTCTAGGGTTTTGTATGTATAATATCATGTCATCTGCAAATAAGGACAGTTTTACTTCCTCTTTTCCAATTTGGATGCCTTTTATTTCTTCTTCTTGTCTAATTGCAATGGCTAATACTTCCAGTACTATGTTGAACAGGAGTGGTGAGAGTGGGCATCCCTGTCTTGTTCCTGTTTTTAGGGGAAATGGTGTTAGTTTTTGTCCATTGAGTATGATGTTGGCTGTGGGTTTGTCATATATGGCTTTTATTATGTTGAGGTATGATCCTTCTATTCCCACCTTGCTGAGAGTTTTTATCAAAAATGGGTGTTGGATTTTGTCGAATGCTTTTTCTGCATCAATTGATATGACCATGTGGTTTTTTTCTTTCAATTTGTTTATGTGATGTATTACGTTTATTGATTTACGGATGTTGTACCATCCTTGCATCCCTGGGATAAATCCTACTTGGTCATGGTGTATGATCCTTCTGATGTACTGTTGGATCCGATTTGCTAAGATTTTGTTGAGGATTTTGGCATCTATGTTCATGAGGGATATTGGCCTGTAATTCTCTTTCATTGTGTTGTCTTTACCTGGTTTTGGTATTAGGGTGATGCTGGCTTCATAGAATGAGCTTGGAAGTGTTCCTTCCTCTTGGATTTTTTGTAGTAGTCTGAGGAGGATAGGTTTTAGTTCTTCCTTGAATGTTTGGTAAAACTCCCCTGTGAAGCCGTCTGGTCCTGGGCTTTTGTTTGCTGGAAGCTTTTTGATGACTGCTTCAATTTCTTCCGTAGTTATTGGCCTGTTGAGATTTTTAGATTCTTCCTGATTAAGTTTTGGAATGTTGTATTTTTCTAGGAATTTGTCCATTTCCTCCAGGTTGTCTAGTTTGTTGGAGTAGAGTTGTTCATAGTATTTTTTAACAATCATTTGTATTTCTGTGGGGTCTGTTGTTATTTCGCCTCTATCATTTCTGATTTGGTTTATTTGGGTCCTCTCTCTTTGCTTTTTGGTGAGCCTGGCTAGAGGTTTGTCGATCTTGTTTATCCTTTCAAAGAACCAGCTCTTGGTTTCATTGATTTTCTGTATTGTTTTTTTGGTCTCTATGTCATTTATTTCTGCTCTAATCTTTATTATCTCCTTCCTTCTGCTCACTCTGGGGTTTTCTTGTTGCTCTCTTTCTAATTCTTTGAGCTGTAGATTTAGATGATTTACTACCATTTTTTCTTGTTTTTTGAGGTAGGCCTGTAGAGCTATAAACTTCCCTCTCAGGACTGCTTTCATTGTGTCCCATAGGTTTTGGATTGTTGTG